AAAGCAATAATATCCCAATCCTATTTCGCGATATCACACAGCCCTGCTCCGTACTTACCGAAGTCAAATGAGTGTTTGTGCAGAAAACACAGTTGTAATCAGGGATCACAGCTTGAATTAAAATGATCAGACTATAAACACAGTGAAATTCAATGTCTTAGACATTTTCCTTTCAGTTATTTCTCTAAAACATGGCAGTTTATGTAGTTTTGTCACTAGTGCAGCATGGCACATTTTTTGGATCAGATGCAATGACTGCCTGAGCCCAGTGGCCGCAGAATAAAAATCAACTTTAGAGGTTTCTAGGGTGTTTTTTGTCACAAATCATTTTTGCAACCAATTAGTTTACCCTAAGCAATGCATAAAATTAAAGTTACTCAAGTGGCTCTTTGGACAATTCACTGAGCAGCCCGGCACTGCAAAAAAGAAAATGGTCCAAAACAATAATGCAAGCTACAAATAGATTTAACAGGGTTTTTATATTATATATAAATGTATACATAATTACTAATATTTACTAATAAATATTTTGCTTATTGTTTTTGTCTTAGACTATTAATACAAAGCAAAATACCAAATAAATAAGTGGTATCATCAATACAATGACTGTGATAGCATACCAGACTTTACATATATCCCCAGCATTAATAACAAAAATGATCTTGCTATTTTCATTTTTATATTAAGATGGTAAAGAAATTGTGCTACATTTACACAAGACTCTTACTGTGAGAATCTCATACTCACCTGGACATGAGCTAGCTCAAAGCCAATAAAGTCTGCAGGTGGCACAGGTCACTTTGGTAAAAGTAAAAATACTCCTCATAAGATACGTTGGTCATTAAGGACTAAAAAAACAAATTCACTGCATAAAAAATATCCACACACTATCTATAGTCACTATCACTGCCGAGTTGTCGGGGGTCGGCGCCTGTCTCCAGCAGCCGTTATACTTTGTACATATTGTCAGCACATCTCAGGACAGCACAGAAAGACCTGGAAGGACAACCATGCACATACACCCACACCGAAGGGAAATTTACTCACACCGATTCACAGGAACAGCCATATTTTTTGGACTGTGGAATGAAGCCAGAGAGCCCAAGAGAAACTCATGCCAGCAAAGGGAAACAATTTGATCGCATTTTAAAAAATCACCTTTAACATGCGGCTGTGCTGTATAGTTAACATCTACTAATGTTAACTGCTTTCATAATCAATAAATAGAAAGGTCAGTTTTGCAATGATGTTGAACTTTCCTACGCCTATTAAGACCTGATGGACACAAAAACATCAAAATAAATGTTTCTGATACTACCTGAGTGGGTTTTCATAATGCATTAATCATTCAAAAGCCATTTGGATAAAACAAAATAATACAATCCAAAAAATTGAATAAAAATCTTTCACAACAGAATATGCCAGCCAGATACCCTTTCTCTACCACAAATGCACAGTCAGTGTCATCACTCTCATATTTATTGAGACATTAAAGCACTAGATCTACACTAGGCTCTCCTAAGGAGGTTCGTGTAGAACAGCCGGCTGACGCACGCTGACCTATTCTCACCAATGTGAGTTTTTGACCTACGTCACAGCACCGTGCTGAACAGGATATGATTCATCAACTTCACTTGCAACACCTAATCAACGAATGTAAACCAATTTTTGCATATAACTTTGAACTGATGTAGTTGATGTTGTGTGAGGTTGTTTCAAGGTTTTTTTCTGAGTTTGCTTATGTTTAAGAATATGGAAACACACAAGATATAAAAGACCCTCATTGTATGTTTACTTCCTGTCTTCAGTATCTACATCCTCTCAAATTTCAAGCAACTTGACGATTTGTCTCTAAACCACTTAACCCCATAAAAACTCCAGACTGCCGTCACAATGAAACTCCATATTCAAATAAATACATAAAACATGCAATACTCCTGTGGAAAGACTTTGAAATGCAGATGTTCTACAGCAACAGGGTGCTACAACTACATATGACAAAAAAATGCAAATTCCAATTTGTATTTTATAAATGTACATGTAGAAATGAAGGGTGTTGGTGTCAATATGCAAAATTACTTTAGCAGCAGTAGCATAAGTGTTGCTTTTCTGTTGTAAATAAAAGTGATTACAATAGGTAACGCAATTAAATTGTCATTGCCGTTCAATTACCATGAGAATCTCATATCATAAGTATAGCCAGGCATAAAATCATTCATACCTCTGCCCAAACTTTTAAAAGTTTTAAGGAGCCCAGCCAGAGTCCCGACTTGAATTTATGAGAGAATCTGTGAAGGGAGATAAAGATGATGGCAAAGAAGTCGTCCAACCTCTGACTTGAAGCTTATCTCAGAATGCTTGTCCACAATTATGAGAGGAATTTCAATACTGGGCTGTTAATACAGTCTTTTGTAATTCATCACCAAGACAGGTAAAAATAATTGTATGCATAAACTTTTCAAAAGCTGTCTACGTCATTAAGAATCTGGTACAAAGTTCTCGGTTTGACGGAAATAAGTTTACACCGAAATCTCTCATGGGGTCGTGGAGGGAGGGGTGAAGGTGGTTAAGATATTTTCAGAATAACTCCATATCTACATCCTTACTAACTTTCAAATAGCAGACACACAGTAATGTACGTGTCAAGATTGCATACACCACCCACCTAAGTGCACCCTGAGAGACGTACCTGCAGTCATTAATCTTCAACTTCTTTTTGACTAACGCCTTTGTTCGTTTTAGACGCCGCTAAATTGTAGTGAAACGTCCCACAGCTGCATATTGCACAGGGAAACTGTCTAACAGGAAACATAAAGGGGTTTCTATTAGTATTGTATATAAAACTGAAGGGCGCAATATTGTTGGCTCAATTAACATTTTTGACAAACCGCAAATTGCTTGGTTATCGGGAAAGGCTGAGATGTGGAAAGAAATGGAGAAAAAAATAACAACAAACTGAAATCAAACATAGAGTATAAAAATCCCTCTAATTCTAGTTGGAAAGATTTTGCTGAACAAACCTTTTTTGTACATTTTTTTTCTCCTTTGTTCTGCTTATATAAAAGATTAAAATCTGATTTAAAACTTTCCCCAGCTTAAACGAATCCTAAAATGGTGAACAGAAGATCTTAATTCCCCGCTGAGATATCTATTATGCATGATTATTTTAATGTAATCACAATAATAATCATAATAATGTAATCATAATGTACAAGTTTATCAGGATTATCTGAAGTATTACAGACTGTTTACTCCTACCAATGTATACAGATGTTTTAAGGAGATAAAACATCAGTAATTTGAAGAGCGATATCCATTTTACTCTTTCACTATGAGATGCTTAGAGACATACTGTATGGTTTTCAGCAGCTTTAGTCCTGACTCTTCTCCCACCTGCTGCAATGAGCTCAGCTGTTAATTTAGTTTCAGCAAGTTAATTTAGTTTAAGGTAATGAGATCAAATTATAATAAAATCCAAACACAGCACAAAGGAATCCTTATTAAAATACAAAACATTTCAAGATCAATTGATCACGTCATGCCCAATATCAACCTAACAAGACACAGCAGATTGTAATAAGTCATTATCTTTGCAAAAAATGCACACTTTGGTAACTTGTAAGTTGCCCGATAGAAGTCAAAGCTTCAACTTGGATCAAAATAACTCCAAAGCCAAACAAAAAAGTTCAGACCATGATGACATGGTGTGCAGTGTTTGCTCGGTGTTTTCGCCAACAGCTGGAACAGCTGATTGCTCATGTGAAGTAAATGTTTACTACATTAGATCTTTGTGCTTCAGCACATTAACTATTTTCATAAAAGAGAGAAATCACCTCAAGCAAGCATGAAAAGCTTTTTTACAAAACTGAGGAGGCAATTTGGAATTGTTCAGTTTCCATCGACCTTTTCTTGTTTGGTACTTCAAAATGCACACAAAAATTGTTGATGGAAACACAATTATGATTTTTTTTTTGGCTTTGGGATATTGGCATTAGAGGATTGAGATCAAATGAAAAACATTTTATATGGACTAGAACTATTAGACTATTATAGATTACAAATTTATCAAAAAACAATTTGGTAAAACTTAACTGTATTTGTGAAAACAAAATATGACTCTTTGTTCTTCTCTTTCTTGTGACCCTAAAATTGTATCTGGTCTTGTGAATAGGATGTATCTTTACACCCCTAGCATTTATTCATGCCAACAAGCATTCCAACACAAATAAGGTCAACTTGACCCGAGTGGACTTCATCAGACTGCATCCATTAGCTCTCTTGTTGGGGAAAAAGTCCTGCTTTAATATCACTGTGCAAACAGTGCTTGACTGACTCACTGGATTAAGTAACAAACTATTGTTTTATTTTGTCCAATCATCAAAATTCACCATACTGATATATTAAATCAGCTAAGCACAAAAGTTCATCAAAAGCACCGTCCAACCATCTAAAGCACAAGAACAAATGGAAGTGATTCCCCTCAAGGCTATTTGCACACCTCCAAATTTTTACCCATTAGTTCAGACAGGTGACTTGCTGCATATGTTGCCAATGTAAAGTATTGTGATGCTTTGAAAAAACTCTGACCCATGCAAGAGTTTAGGCAGACAAAAAAGCTGTCCATGTCTCGTTTTACTTGTTGTTATTGGAATGATGATACAGGACTTTTGATTCAGATAGAAAGAAATATAACTCATTTGCTAGTTCTGCACTGAACAGGTTTTCTGTTCCTTTTATGTGCTGTACTGGAGAAAAGCAGAGGGCTTTTATACTGACCAAGAGCCCCCTGCTTTTTGACAAGAACAGGAAAACGCAGATTACATCCTTTGTGGATGATTTCCTGCACTTTGACAAGTAGGGTCTCACCCAGGAGGGCCATTCATCCAACAACCGCCAATGATTCAGACAACCTTGTGACCCTAAATCAGGCAAACCAGGACGAAGACATATTTGGGCTTACCAGTCATCGGATCATGATCTCCAGCATATGAAAGGATATGGGTTACAGACCATGCGCAAACACCAGTTGCGGGGCCTTGTTGTTTGTTTCAGGCAGAAGAAGGCCACAGGTGCCAGGGCCGGATACGGCTGCTGTTCCTCCTCCTCGGACACACAGTCCGGGTCGCGGATTGGAGCTGTGATGCGGACTCCCAGTGTAGGCCCAGCTTCCATTTCCAGCTCTGGCTCCTGGTCCTCCTCACATTCCTGAACTTCCACACTCCACTCGTCTCTCCTGTCTCCTCGACCGCCACAGCTCCCTCTCCTCTTCTTCTCCACCACCTCCTTCTTTTCCTCCTGCTGCTTCTGCTCCTCTTCCTTGCCTCCTCCTCCTCTTTGTCCTTCTGGGTCACCATTGTGGTCTGGGGCGTCGGTCCTGTGGCCCGCCGATACAGAAAGCCTCACGTCCTCCTGTACCTCGCCCTGCTCCAGGCACTCTTCGTACTGAAAGCGCACTCTCCCTTCGCCATCAGTCATGATAGAGCATCAGGCAGAGCCACTCTGGAGGAGAGGTCAGAGGATTAGAGGTCGGAGGGAGGAAGGGAGTGGTTGATGGTCAGAGATCAACACCAGACATGCAGGTGGAGGAAGGATTGTTGGCAAAAAAAAAAAAGCAAAGAAGGAGCAACAGAGAATAGAAACGAGAGTGAAAGAGTGATCAGCTCAGCACAGACAAATCACACAATGGGCCAAATAAACACTTAAACCATTCTGTCTATCAGTCCCTTGGCAACACAAGAGCTTGCTTCCAGTGAACGTACACAGCCGCAGAATTTCATAAACCCTTGACACTTTTGCAACTTAGCCGGTTCTTATAAAATTAAAACAAATAAAGACAGCAACACCTTAAATTCACTCAAGTGTTATGTACAGATGCAGATACAGAGACATCTAAAACCTGGGTAGAGGTTCTTCTTCTTGCAGAACAATTTTAAACATACATGCAGCCAGGGCTGAAATTCAGGGCCATTCTTACCTGCAAACGTGTGTGCTACAATGGCCCAGTCAAAGCACAGACCTAAATCTAACTAAAAATATGCACCAAGAGTTGAAACTTTCCTTTTACAGACATTCTTCATTGAATCTTTTTTTTTCAATATTCAAATATGACAAACACCACTTGCTAAAGATTTGCAGCTACAATTTCACTGAAATTTTTTATTTTTTTTCAAAGTACATTTATTCTGAGGAAGCCCAAAGACATGTGACACTTTAGATTTTTATTTCCAGAACTTTTGGAAACCTCACTTCGATTTCTTCCCATCTCACCGTTAGGCCTGATTTGATCAACCATAAACCCACTAACAACTAAAGTTTGTGGTCATAATTGGAAGAAATATCAACAAGTTAGCTCAGGCTCTGTATTGATTTAAAAGAAATCGCATGCTTTATTCATTCCACTGTCATATGAATTTTGACATATCAGAAATGGCAGATTTTTCAAGGCATCCCACATTGAGTCTGGCATTTGAAAGCGCATTGAGTCCAGGGATATCTTACTGCCACATATTTACACTGTGATATAATAGAAAGTGTAAATATTTGTATCATTATTATTATTATTATTATTATTATTATTATTATTATTATTATTCCTGACTCCTTTTCTCTTCCTGTTGCTATGTGATTGAACAGATGGACTGCTCTGCCTCTGATGTACTGAAGGTTTTTAGCCCACACCGTTCAGTGGCAGGCATACAGGAGGAGTATGCGCCACAAAATGAGGGAAAAAAGCAATTTACGCCACACTAATCCCGATTATTCGAACAAATGGAGTAACATCAAGAAGGAAACATTAGCCCTGATAATCCAGTAAAGCAGACTTCACTCTTCTGAAGCTTTTTTTTATTATTTATTTATTTTTATTTTTTTTATATTTAATGGGCTTTTGTTCTGACACGAGAAAAAGAAAAGCGCTTTAAATTTCCCAACTCGTTTTACAAAGGATTTTTTTTTCAGACCGCCATTAAAATGAACATTTTTTTTTTTTTTTTTTTTTAAGTAACTGTGCCAAAAGGAGACGGCAAAGGAGGAAAGGGAGCGCTCGTCATCCCTCTTTCTGATTCTTTTGTCGCGTGGAGTCAATTCTGGACTTGACGAGCGTTCAGAGCACAGAGGTGAACGGAACAAGTTCTTTGTTTCCAAATACCTTATCAAGACAGAATCGGGAGTTCCCATAAGCATGGTCCGCGACTTTCCGACGTTCAAGCGCACCCAGCCTTTCTCAGCAACCTGGACCTTCCCTTTTCCTTTCTTTCTTTTTTTCTTTCTTTCTCTCTTTTTTCTCTCTTCCTCTCCACACAGTGCGTGTCTTTCCTTTGCTCGAAAGTGATCAAATAAAACCAGTTCGTCCTGAAAAGAAGAATCACGGACTGAAGTCAAAGAAGTCGCTTTAAGTGGTCCTCGTCTGCGCCTTCGGTCAATTCAAGACGGAACATCTACCCATGCCTCCTGTCTGCTCCCAGTCCATCCTCGCTAAGGAGTTGGTTACGCAGCGTGGAGCGGAGATGCGCGCGCGGGGTGGGTTGGGTCGGGTTGGGCTGGGCCGCGTGGGCAGCCTACGCCTGAATCCCCGTGTGTGTGGATGTGGTCTGACGCGAAGAAACTTGGCCCAGGACCTGGAAGCCCTCACACGTGATTCGACGTCCGCTCGAGAGAAAGAGAGAGAGAGAGAGAAAAGGGGGGTTCTCGCTGTGAGACTCACAAGTACACGTACACGCGCACGTTTAAAAAAAAAAAAACACCCACCATGCTGTGCGGCCAGGAACCGCAGTGCACAGTGGAGCAAATGTCAAACATGCCTGTTTTTAGTCCATTATTACCATCTCTAAGATTGTGACTGTGTTTTTCAGGGTTGAATAAAAATCTAAACTCTTAATGATGGTTTAAAATAATATATATATACAATCAAGAGCACAGAAACAATGCAAAGACACATGGAGACAGAGAGAAAGATCTACACGCAACACCAATATACACACTTTATTCATACTGTAAGCAACAAGCTCTCTGAGATCTTCAAAGCTTGATATGTTGTTGCTACTCTTACTGAAAAAAGGAATTATGGCTACTCTGCCAAACAAACATATTTCAGACAAAAATGCACAGATGTAATCCTACAGTTTATGTTAAAGTGAGACCTCTTGCTTGTACACAAGCTTTGTTGTTCTGATGTCATTTTCTCTCTGTATTTGTATGAGGTGCAGTATGTAACAGGATCATGTCTTAGCATCCAGGAACCTCCAGCAGTACCTGGAGAAGTGCTTTCTGGTGTTAAATGTGGCATGCATGCATTCATTTATTTTCAGCTGTGAACAAAAGCTTAGAGTGTGCTGAAAGATCAAGCTCTGTCACCCGCCCCCTGACACCTGTCTTTCTCCCCCACCGGTCTGTCTTTCCTGTCTGCTACTAGTGCATGCACAGTTGGACTCCTGTGCTCATTACTGTAGGCTTGGCCCCAAAATGTCTCCTGCGAGGCCTTAGATAATGTTGCCTTCGCTGTCACACCCTACGCAGCTGCTCCACGCTGCCCCTTTCTACCCTCACACAACACCAATCTACTTGCACTATTTGAAATGTGGACTTGATGCATTCTTTGGTTTGGTTCTGTTTTTTTTTTTTTTCTCCATTTACCAGGCTCAAGCAGTGACTTAAATAAGGTCGATTCGAAATCTCAGAGTTCAGCGTTCTTACGAGGAACGTGTGTTAACAGGCTTCTCTGCAGGATATAAATGCAGTCTGTTGGAGTAACAACGGGTCCACTTTTGTTGTGTACTTTCATTTCCACAAAACACATTTTAAATATGTTCCTCACTCAAACGACATTCATCCTCCCTCAGCTGGAACTACCAGTCTACCTTTGCTTAGTACTTCCAATCACTCTCCTTCCTCTCCCACCCTCATCCCGTCACAGTCCATCCTCGTGTCCACTCCAACTCCCACACTCCCATCATTCAGCCGTTTCCTATTCCGTTACTCATCTCTCATCAGTTGACCCTTTTTTTTCTTTTTCTACTGAAGTAGGGTAGAAAAAGAAGACCATCACCAACAAAGAGGTGAGACTGCTGTTAATACAAATAGAAAAAAAGGTCAGACATTCAACAACACACTGGAGAAGACCCGAACAAAACGGTGCGCGATTGTGCCGTCAAGTCAAGTTTGATCATTTCAGCAACAAGACACAGTAAAAGCATAATGCAGTAATCAATTGTGAAAGAAGTAATTAATCTTACATTTTGTCAAATGCCGTCATAAAAATGATCAAAAATAGTCATTTTCAAAATTAATCTAATCAAATAAAACTCTTAAAAGGTGGGTCTGTGGGCCTGATTTAAAGCGTTTTGAGTGCAACATTCTCATGAAGAAACAATGTTGTTGGCAGAATATCTGTCTTCTTCATTCACCACGGAGACTTAATGCCGATAAAGTTGGTAGAAAGATTCATGTTTCTACAAACAGAACAAAAAATGTCAAAAAGCACATGTTTAAATAAAATGTAAGCATTTTAGAAATGTTTGTTGTCGGCACATTTTGTGACACTTGCATGATGGTTCGGTCAAAACTGACTCCCGTTACGATAACTGTACCAAGCATTAAAAACAGAATGCGGTAACCAGAGGTCAAACCCATGTTAGTACTATGAACAAAAAACATGGTTAGAAGTTACTTACATTGTTCACTTTAGGATGTTTCTGTAACTTTTAGGGATTTCCATGATCACCATCAGACCTGCAGTTGTACCAAAAGGTGACATGTGCAATATTAATTCAGTGGGACTGGATGCAGCTGCACTCCATACTTCTCATTTGTACTCAAAGTGATTTCTGAAATTCTGTAGTCTCTATTTTTCACTTTTCAATTACGCATTTTGTTTTGGTGCGGTTCACGTGAAATTCCATTAAGATGGACCCTTTGTGGTTTCGACGCGACAAAACGCAAAGAAGTTCAACGGGTACAAACACTGTTCCAATTCGCTCCAAATATTGTGGGAAAACTGCTTATGCCACATGCAAACTCATACCACTTTAAGAAAAAGAACAAAAAAAAAACAATGCTGACAGAAACTGCAAGCGCCATCCTGTCAAAGAGACTCTGTGACTGACAAGTGATGTCTGCAGAGGCATGAGCCAACCACACAACAAAGACATCAAAGTCATCTCCAAAGTCATGAATAAGAAAAACAACAAACACAACAGCTTGCAAGGATACTGCAATTTTCTTAGTTTTTCTTTTTTTGCTTTGTTTGTTATAAAGCATACCTCGGGTCTCAGTTCAGTCTGCATCCATGCTTGCCTCATTCACTCCTCCCACTCATGTCTCTGCTGGCTGGTGTCTTCACTTTTGCTCAGCTGACGTGTCTGAGGAGGGGGAGACCCTGCACGATCGACCTCCTTCAAGGAGCTTTCCCGGGAAACAGGCCCAAGAAAGGAGGTTGCGTCAAGTTTGTTCTGCATAAAACTTGCTGAATTACGGGCATTCGTGAGATTTCATCAAAATCCACCCGAAAAGAATCCCACACTTTATAGGTGGATGAGAGATGGCAAAATAGATAGTTTTCTGGTGCTTTCTTTTTTTTTTTTTTTTAATTCCTCTTTAAGTCGGATGCCAAGCTAATCATTCTAATTAGGGTAAGGGAGAGGGAAAAATACCATGGCATTCGTAAACACACAAGAACAGAGGAAACGGTTATATAATCATGCACAAACTCTCTCTCTCTCTCTATCACACACACATACACACGCATACACACTCACACGCACACACCTACACACGCACACGCACACACACGTACATACACCGAGTCAGCAGGGGCTCTGCAGCTTTAGAAGGGAGTCTGTCATACTAAATACTGCACCCAAACACAGCTCAGTCACAGATACCTACTTATGGAAGATGCATAAAAGAGCAGTAGAATATGCTCTTTTATGATGAATATGATTTACTTCAAGCACATATCTGTTTTAGGTTTTTTTTTCTCCTTTCTTTGGAAAGTCTGAGCTGCAAGTAGGAAATGGGGGGAAAAACATTGACTCTGAAACCCCTCAACTGTTAATGAAGTGTAAGATCATTTTCACATTTTTGTAGTCAGAATGGAAACATAGGCTGCATATTAGCAGGCTGGAGCACTCAGAAATGCACCAGTTCATTTATCTAGATTGTTTTGCAGTGGTTCTTTATATTTTTCATGCATTTAATAATCAGTTTCATATCAAATGGTTGCTTAATATCTTACTTTGCTGCCTGCTGCATGTTGCCATTTTTGCAGTCCAGCTTAAAGATCGGAAATACTCATTTTAATAATATATCAAAATAAAGACCAAATCATCCTTTTCCTCTATCCTCATAAAAAAAAAGTTACTTTTGTCTGTTAATATCTGATTAATAAATTTACGTTTAAAACTGCGGTTAAAGAAAAAAACAAAAACCGGCTTTTTTTTTTTTTGTCACCGTTTCACCTTTTCTCAGACGAGGCTACATTACTGTGTTGTGTGCCGACTTGAATCAAGCACATATCTAATAACGTGATCTGGGTGATCTAATCTTTAGCTTTTTAATAACATACTCTCATCCGGCGTGTGGAGCAGATCTCTGCTCCATCTTAATGTAATGAAACTCTTAAGCCTCTTAAATATGAACTCCTACACAGGTTTTTGCCTCGGAGGCTCTTTTAATATGCAAAATGCTTCTTCGGGCCACGTGATGAACTGGTGAGATTAAGAAAGTCACCAATTCTCTATTAATGGTAAAGATTTAGTATAGTGGATAAAGCTCAATAGTTATGTTTTTTTTATTATTATGTTATTTTATTTGATCAATAATGAATAATTCAATAGTCATGTTTTTTTTATGTGCTTGCTTGGAAACAAATACACCTATAGCATAGTACAGTAAATATGTAATTTAAACATTTTAATCCCAATTTCTTTTCTTACGCAACCCCTTCATTAATATGGTCTTAGCTTATTAAAAGATTTGGTTCATTTTCCTTCACACATTTGAAATTTTTTTTCATTAATGATGCCTGCAGAATTTGAAATATTGAGTTTATTGGGTATTTGGCATAAATGTATAAATTGAAGCCATAGATGTTTACATCTTACCACAGTCTGCCAAGAAGCTGACATTGAGTACTTTCAAACTGTAAGGAAGTGTGTTATGTATAAAAATCCTTAGCTGAGAGTGAACAGGGCTGTTCCAACTTACTGATATAGTCAGTTGGTACTATATCAAAATTAGTACACCGCCCTTAGATGTATAATTTAGTCAAAATATTGATATTTGACCTTTTTATTTTCTTAAAATGCTTCACATGAGCCTAAGCTTATTTTCCTTGTCATTTATGACTAATTAACCAGATCGTTTATAACTAATTAACCAGATCATTTTTTTTATTTTACCACAACATAAATATTAACAAGAAAAGATAGAAAAAATATTCTAAGGAATGTAATAAATTTGAGAGTTTTTTTTTTCTCTTTGGTTTGTTTTGTATTTTTTGATAACCAAAATGAAAACTGACCAACAAATTTTGATGAGAACGACTGGGTAAAACCAAGATTATTTGTAACACCTCTCCCGTTCAGTGGGAAACCTGTGTGAGAGAAATCTTTACTTGATAAACATATGGGGCCCTTCATGGGAAGGCCTT